ACGAAGCCACCCTGAGCGCCAGGTGAATGGATTACTCCGACACAACGTGTGCTGTGAGAGAGAGGCAAAGGGGCAGCCTGGCCAAAGAGACCAGGCAGCCACCATTGCCTGCCTCGCTAGGCTTTTATTGCCGTTTTATCTCTCAGATACCGTCAGTCGGGTGAGTCAGCTTGAGAGGGCACAAGCATTTGCATTGTCCTCTGGCCAAGGCGCCCAACGATCAGCGAATACCCGGGGTTCTGCCTGTGCACAGACTTCTCTGGAAAGGTCAAGGGGTAATGGGCGCATTCGACACTCCCCTGATCGCCTCTAAGTCGGAATTCCGATAAGCAGGGCCCGCAGCCGTCCACACTTCCCTTTCCTCCGAATGTCCTCCTTACAGCTGTCCCACCGTCTGTGTGCTCCCCAAGGCTTTCCATCCGACTGACTTCGCTTAGCGCGATACTCTCCTGACCATGTACCTTGTCATAACGGCAAGATTGCACCTTCTCATGGCTGAGCAGTATTCCCTTGCATGTCATATGCCACAGCTTCTTTAGTAAGCATCCAATGAAGGAGAAGACAAACAAACAAACAGACTCATAGATGCAGATAACAGAATGGTGGTTACCAGAGGAAAAAGTGTGTGTGTGTGTGTGTGTGTGTGTGTGTGTGTGTGTGTCTGTGTGGGAGGGGGTTCTGGGCTGGCGGAGAGGAAGAGAGCAAAGGGGGTCAAATACACGGTGATGGGAGGAGAGCAGACTTGTCCGCGTGGTGAGCACACAATAGGGTATATGTAGATGTTGAATTATAAGGTTGCACATCTCAAACTTAGATTGCTATTACCCAATGTTACTCCAGCCAATTAAACACGAACAAACAAAGCAGGCTGCGGAGAACGCGGGGTCAGGACCCTGGTTCCCCTCGGCCCGGCCGGGGGAAGTGGAAGTGGCGCTGAGCCAGGCGGGCCCACGCGCCCCGCGCCCCGGGCGCAGAGGACAAACATGGCCAAAGATCGGGACGCGGCGGCTGCGGAGGGAGGGCCGGAGCGGCGGGGACGGTTCTGCCGGGGAGCTCCCCGCCTTTGGGGTCCGTGGGGAGCCGCCTGGAAGGCGCGGGGCACTCCCCGCCCGGGCTGCGGAGGTAGGCGCCGGCCTCCGGGACCCCGCGCTTGGGGAGCGCGAGGCTGGGGAGGAGGGCGCGCCCCGCGCCCCGGGAGCTGGGGCGAGGGCGCCGCCCCGTCCGGGCGCTTCCGGCGCCGCTGTCCCCGCGCCCGCGGCCCGCCCAGGTGAGCGGGGCCGGGCCACGGCCGGAAGGTGCGCGCCCCGCCCGCCCCGGGCCCCGCGGGAAAGTGAAAGTGTCGCCCCGCGCGGGCCGCAGGGGGCGGGGCGGCGCGGACCGGGGCGCGGGCGCCGGGCACCGAGGGGCCATGGATGGGCTCGGCCGCCGCCTCCGAGCCAGCCTGCGACTGAAGCGCGGCCGCGGGGGTCAGTGCGGGGCCGGGCGGGGCGGGGCGGGGCGCGGGGGCAGCGGGGGCAGCGGGGCCGGGGCCGGGGCACCAGCTGGCCGCGGGGCGCGGGGCGCGGGGCCGAGCCGGCGGCCGGGGGGTCGGGCCGGGCTCGGGAGCCGTCCGCGCACCGGGAGGGCCGGGCAGCTCAGTGCGCAGGTGGGTGGCCGGGCCAGGTGCGGACAGGGTCGGAGGTCAGGGGGCTGCCAGGCCCCCGGGGTGCAGGGGGAGGCGACGGGGCAGAGGAAGCGGCCGTGGGGCCCCAGGGCCACGTGTCCTTCCAGCCAGGAAGCTCGTGGTGAGACCGCAGAGCGCTCGGAGCGCCCTCCGGGGGGGACCCCGCCTCTGCGCCTCAAATAGCTTCGGGCCAGCAACACTGGCCTCCGTGCCACCCGCCCCCGCCCCGAGCCCTTCAGAGCTGGGGTGGCGCCTGCTCCCCGGCTTCCTTAGCGGGACCGGGCGAGCCCCGCCTCCCGGAGCCCCTGGGCTGCGTGCGAAGTGGGGATCCTTCCTCCGTGTCGTGGGGAGCTATGTGGGGAGTCACATTCAGTCCATGCTCCTTCCTGCTCAGCAGGGGCCCTTGGGAAGGAAGGCGATTAGGAATTCATTTATTTTTTTTTTTAATCTCATTCATTCTGCACACATTTATTGCCTCTTCCATTCGCCAGAACCCTCAGCTCCCCTGCCCTCAGGTCCCGCTGTCCCAGGAGAAAGGAGCTGAGTGGCCGGGCAGTCCACCCATCTAGCTGGCAGTTCGAAAGGTTGCGTGAAGGAAGCCAAGGTCCCAAGTCCAACCCCCAGGGCTGGGAGACCGGGTGAAGTCAGTGCGCCTGCCATCGCCCGGCCCTCCAGCCCAGCACTCGCTCTTCTCCCTAACCAGGGGTCCCAGGATCTGCCATTTCACCCCCACGGAGGCTGGGGGCTCCGAGACCACGGGTGGGGACAGAGGGCTGGACCCTGCAGGGGCCTGGCTGAGTGCAGGGTGGGGCTGCTGGCCTCTCTTCTCTGGTCTCCCTCAACCCCGAGACGAGGGTGTGGGTGAGAGGGGTCTGATCCCTGCAGCCACAGGAGACATTCCGGTTGTTCTCAGCCACCCTGGCCCCGCAGACAAGGTGGGGATGGTGCCCGGAGGAGCTTCCTGGCGGTTGAAGGACCTCCTGTGCCGAGGCCGGGCACCTGTCAGGCCAGGAGCGGGTGGCCGCCTCATCTTGCCTGCCTGCCGTCTGTCCTCCACCTTCCCTGGAAGTTCCCCTCCCTGCAGGGCAGTTGTGTGGTAGGAGGGCGTGTGTACATACACACACACACACACACACACACACGGATGTGTCAGTCATGCTGGCGGGAGGCATGGCCGTGGGGGCGGTCCCGGGTTCAAAGGCAGGTGAGCTACAAGAGGAAGGACCAGCTTTTTCAGATGCCGGTTTCAGAAACTCCCCTCACCTATATTCTAGCAGATTCTGGGACTTTCCTCCGATGGCTGAGGGCGGAGCTTCCTGGTGGAGGAACAAGTGTAACCAGACTCCTGACTTCCTTAGAAAGGGTGGCTCCCTCCTCAATTAAAAATCCAGGATCGCCATTCCTCTGGGGATGAAATGGGGTGACCTGTGTGACACAGGTGCGTCGGATGGGTGTCCTCTCCCGGGCGGACAGCCCCCTGGGGAAGAGGAGGAGGCGATCTCTTCTGGGTTTCCTGGGCTCAACCCCAAAGGTGGAGCCGCTTTGTTCGCCTGAGTTTATGAGTTTGGCTGATCTCTGGGCTCTCCTCACAGAGCAGGAAGGACTGGGCTGCAAACGGCGGCTCGAATGATTTGAGGAAAGGGGTAATTTCCTGAGGTTCTGGAACGATCCGTGAAAAGACATAGGCTCTCCAGGTCCATGGCAAACACGAGGCATCCCACGTGTTTGGGGTGCGACGTTCTGTGTGCGTGCTGCGTCAGGAGGGCGGGAGCACGGGCACAGAATTCCCACCGTCCCCACCCCCTACGGATGCTAATCTCTGGGTTTCTTTGTGCCTCGGTTTCCCCATCTGCACCTGCAATGCACTTATTCCTCAGACAGACGGTGAGGATTGTACAACAACAAGTCCGAGCAGGTTGGGAGCAAGGAGTGGTGTGTGTATGTGCTCCGTGATCTGGGTCACTGTTCTCACCATGGCCGTGTGCGTCACATCCTTATTTACCTCGACGGGGGCTCTCCCCGGAGTCATGGCTGGGCCACTGAGTGTGGCTTTGACTGGTCCCACGAAGGCCAAGTTCAAAGCTCTCCTCTCTCCCATGGCCCCCTGTCTTCCAGAGGGCAGCTCGCTCTCCGCGGGAGTGGCAGGCACTGGCCTCAGACACTTTGGCCTCCTGGCTTCGGTCAGACGCAGCTTCCCGGCCAAAGTCCTTGTCTCTTACGTTGTGCGTGTGCTCGCTCAGGGGTTGATGTGAGACTTGTGGGTGACTTATGGCTGCCCTTTCTCTCTTCCCCAGCCCCCAGACACAGCTCCGGACCCCACGAGGGCCCTGGGGGCCAGGTGCTCCGCTGTTAGCTGGGGCAGAGAGCCCTCGACCTGGCCCAACAGGGAACTAAAAAGGCTGAGCAGGCCTGGCTGCTGTGGCTCAGTGGCTGAGCATCCCCCTCTGAACCAGGAAGTCACGGTCTGATTCCCGGCCAGGGCACAGGCCCAGGTGGTGGGTGAATCCTCAGAGTAGGGCCTGCAGGAGGCAGCCGATCAATGATTCTCTCATCGTTGATGTTTCTCTCTCTCTCTCTCTCTCTTTCTCCCTTCCTCTCAGAAATCAGTAAAAATGTATTAAAATACAAAAGACTGAGCGGGAATGAGGGTGGAGCGGAGTTGCCCCGGTGCTTTCTGCTGTCCCTGAGCGACCATCGGGCTGCTGATGCAGCCAGTTCCCTCCGGTAGGCCAGGGAGAAAGTCCTGAGTCAGCGCTTCCTATTTGCAAGAGGGACCCTTTGCCGGACCGGGAACAGGTCCCAGGGAGGGAAGCCTGCCTCCGGAGGTGTTGCAGGGGGGAGAGATGCTGCAATGCAGACCCAGCCCGTCAGGAGCCCTGCGGCTCAGATACGGCCTTTCTCTGCCCAGCCAGCAGGAGAGGAGGCTTTTAGGTGCGTCTGGATGTCCAGGCTCCCCTCTGCCTGGAAGAATGGCTCCTTTTAGATGCCACGGAACAGAGTGGCATGCTGGCTGCGGGCGTGTTCGGTCCAGGAAGTTCCAGGTGGCCTTGCAGGGGTCGGGGACTGCTGCTGACCCAGTAGGGAAGTGAAAGGCCACAAATCAAAGCGCTGGGAGGACCCGGAGTCCCCGGTGCCCGCAGCCTGATGCTATCTTCACTTTCCCCCGATGGTAAATAAGCCCATTGTACAACCTCCGGCCCAGAAGCCAGAGCCCTGAGCCCAGAAGCAGCTGGGCCGTGGAGGTGTTTGCTTGCGACCTTTTGTCTCACCACACCCCGCGGCTCCTGGGAGGAGCCGAGAGCTGAGCAGCCCTGCCAGGATGCTGCCTGTGTCAGCTCGGGCTTCCTGCCTCCTTCCTGGGTCCTGTCACAGCCGGCTTGCTCACCCATTGGGCGCCCGGGATGGAAACTGCTCTCCCTCCTCCGGGGGACGGCGTGGGGCCCGTCTGCCCAGCGCCGGGGCCAGAGGCTGCGGCAGCAGCTCCCTCCCGGGGCTTTCTGTAGCCGGCTGGTCGTGGGCCAGGGCAGCTCCATGCCCCGCAGGCCCGGGACGGTGGAAGGACCTGTGGTAGGCGGGATGCTCAGGCAGGTCCGCGGATGGCTGTCCCGAACCCCAGCAGGTCTGGACTGGATTTCCCATCTCCTTCTCTCCTAGGGTGGCTCTCCTCGGTGGGGCTGTTTCTCCCTTAGAAACTTCTTTTTCTTCTTCCTTTTATATCTCCACCTCCTCCACCCATGTGACGGCGCGGGGAGGTCCCCCGGCTGGTTTTCGGAGCCTCTCATCCCCCCTGGGGGGTTGGTGTGGTCACGGCCACGTGGCCCTCGGGCCTCTGGTGATGCAGTGAGCACAGGGCGCCCTGAGGGCAGGCAGTGCCTGGGGCCTGGGGCCTCCCCGGGGCCTCCCAGTGCATTTCCTCGGCTTCCAGAGCAGCGCTTCCTTCCCTCCCCTCGGCTCCGCGTGGCTGCACGTCTCCCAGGGCGGGCATGGAAACCGCCCGGTTGGCCCTGATCCCATCCCAGGGCCTTGGGTGCTGGGCCGGCTCCGGGGACCTCAGTGTGGGCAGAGGGGAGGGCGGGCCTCGAGGTACTGAAGCTGCCTGGAGCCTCGCAGTCTCCACTCGGGCCTGGACCTGTGAGATCCGAGTGGGCCCCGTGTCTGGTTTCAGGATCTGCCCAGGACGGTCCGGGGGAGGCTGCCAAGGAGCCGGAGCGGGCCCCGGAGCACTGCCTGCCCACCTTCGCCGGAGGCCAGCACTTCTTCGAGTACCTCCTGGTGGTTTCCCTCAAAAGGAAGCGATCAGGGGAGGATTATGAGCCCACGATCACCTACCAGTTTCCCAAGGTAAGGCCTGCAGGAGGGGGCGCATGGGGGTGGGGGCGGGGGGAGACAGAGAGTGGGGTATTTGAGAGGCAACGGGGGTGGGGAAGGGGGGTGCTCCCTCTCTTCCTCCCTGGCCTGGGCTGGCTCTGGGCTGGAGGGGCCCTGCGCTCCCCGCTCTTGTTTCCTGTTATCACCCACAGAATCTAGGTCTGGCCTCTGAGGGAGGAGCTGGCCTAGGCTCCCGGCTGGGAAACTAGGCTAGTTCTCCCCTTCGGGGGGCCTCCTGGTCCTCCCGGATTCCAGCCCAGCCACCCTTCTCGCTGGGGAAGCTTGCCTTCTGCCCGAGCTCCTCCCAGGCTCCCCCTCCCAGACTCCCCCTCCCAAGCACCCCCTCCCAGGCACCTCCTCCCAGGCACCCCCTCCCAGGCACCCCTCCCAGGCTCCCCCTCCCAGACTCCCCCTCCCAGGCACCCCCTCCCAGGTACCCCCTCCCAGGCACCCCCTCCCAGGCACCCCCTCCCAGGCACCCCCTCCCAGGTACCCCCGTGGGAAGGAGGGGGGGCAGCCCGTGGTCACGTAAACTCCCCAGCTCCTCACTGCCCCTGCCCCGGGCCACTGAGAGTCTCCTCCCCCTGAGAGCGGGCAGGTGACCGGCCGCCGCGCTTCCCCGAGGGGTTCCCTCCGGGGCGGGGTCCTCTCGGGAAGCCCAGGGGTCTCGGGGCCCTTCTGCCTTCAGAGGTGGCCTGGCCCCCTCCCTGACCACGCGGAGCCTCACCTGCCCCTCCCGCTGCCCCTGCCTCCTGCCCCTCCTGCCCCCTCCCGCTGCCCCTCCGTGCACCATTGGCGTGTCTCCTTTCCTGTCCTTCCAGCGGGAGAACCTGCTTCGGGGCCAACAGGAGGAGGAGGAGCGGCTGCTCAGTGCCATCCCCTTGTTCTGCTTCCCGGACGGGAACGAGTGGGCCCCCCTCACTGAGTACCCCAGGTAACGGCCAGCCCCGAGTCGGGGCCTCTGGGATGGGGAGAAGGGCCAGCGTGAGCCTGGGGTTCCTGCGGCCCCTCACCCGGCGTGCATGCCCAGCTCTTACCTGCCTTCCTCCTGGCGGGAGGGGCTCCGTGCAGTCACGTATGGCCATCTCGCCTGGGGCCCCTTAAGACCAAGGATCTTGGCCAACAGGTTGCCCAGTTGCCTCTGAGCAGAGAAGGGCGGGCTTCCCTGGTGCTGGGAGGGGCGTCTCTGGGTTTTGACTCTGCCACTGGCAGCAGCCGGACTTAGACAAAGGCCCGGGGCCTCTAAGAAGGCGACGGAGCAATGTCCCTTCCAGCGGGGCCCTGGGACCCGACGGTCTGAGGCTGAGTTTTGGCTGCACACTCAGGAGCTCATGGCCCTCGTCTCTCCTCCTCAGGGAGACTTTCTCCTTCGTGCTGACCAACGTGGACGGGAGCAGGAAGATCGGCTACTGCCGGCGCCTCCTGGTCTGTGCCGCTCAGAGCTGCCCCTCCTCTCTGCAGCCGCTGCTCCTCAGCGGGCCGGCTCCGGCCTCTGCTGCCCAGGCCTGGCCCTGGCAGGGCGGCGGTAGAGAGCACAGCCAGCACCCACTGCCATGTTGGTGCCCTCTGCAGCCTGCACAGCAGGGACGCATGCCCGCCTCGCCCGCCTGCCTGCCTCGCCCGCCTGCCCAGGGGCCTCCTGCGGGCCCGGCGATGATCTCTGCTCTCCCCACGTCCCCGCCCGGGAGCCCCAGAGCAGAGACCGGGATTTGAACACCTGCCCTGGGCTCTCAGAGTGCTCAGTGTCGCCCTCCCTCACCATGCCCCCATCCCTGCAGCACGCCAATCCCCTCTGTTTGCCGACCCCCCTGGATGGCAGTGCTTGCCTGGGAGCCCACCAGCCCCCTCACGGCCACTTGCTTTTCACTTGGGCGGCTGCTCTGGCCTCCTGGCGCCTGTCCAGGCCTTCCTCCATCCGCCCCCTGTCACCACACGCCCCCCAGCCGCCAGCTCAGGCCCCATTGTCCCTGAGCGGGCGGGCAAGGGCCTGGGGGCCGTGGGGCTGAAGGAGGCTCTCTCCCCGCAGCCTGCCGGCCGCGGCCCTCGGCTCCCCAAGGTGTACTGCATCATTAGCTGCATTGGCTGCTTCGGCCTGTTCTCCAAGGTAGGCCGGCCGGGGCCCCTGGGCTGCTGGGCCTGTTCCCCGAGGTGGGGCCCGCCGGGGCCCCTGGGCTGCTGGGCCTGTTCTGCTGCCCGGCTGCCCGGCTGCCTGCCCTGCCCGTGCTCCCTCAGCCTCAGCGAGTGTCTCCCTGCCAGGGGTCAGGCGAGGCCCCGGTGGGGGAACTGAGGCAGAGAGGGGCTCGGGCTGGACCTGATTCCACAGGAAAGTGAGAACTGCCCAGAGCCCTGGGGCCCCACTCCTCCCGCTCGGGTCTGGCCAGAAAGCAGCTGGAGGGACAGGGAGGAGCCAGGGGAGGAGTGGGGACATTTCCGTGTCTTGGTCTGTCAGATGCATAGCTGACCCGCACCTTCCTGTGCCACGGGTGGTGTGAGGCTCAGCAAGGTGACCTGCGAGCTCTAAAGAGAGATGGAGACTGTTATAATGTGATGCCGGGCTCCGTCCAGGGCCTTCCAGGGAGGACAGGCTTCTGCAGGAGCTCGCTGAGAGCCACACTCCGAGCTGGGATCAGAGGGCCCTCAAAATGGAGGAGGCGGGGCTTGGTGGCCACGCAAGGGGCTGGCGTGCTCTGCCCCCCGCAGGCCCTGGGAGGGTGAAGGCGGGGACTCGGTCAGCCTTGCTTGGGTGGAGCATGCATTCAGGGGGACAGAGGCTGCCCTGGCCCCGGGCAGTATCCAGTGAAAGTTGGGGGGCAGAGGGGTGCCCAAGAGGAACCAGCCTTTTTGGCCCTCATTCCAACCACCGCGATGAATGTGGGGTCACGTGGATGAGCTGGTAGCTTATGTGGAGGTTCGGAGAAGGGAAGCATATGGGTCGGTGGAGGGAGGAAGAGAAGAAGGCCAGGAGAAAGCAGCAGACTGGTCTGCGCCAGAGGAGAGACGACCAGCGGGGGAGGGGCAGGGAAGACACGGGAAGACTGGCTGGACCCACCGGGATCCCACGCCTGGGGTCTCTGCCTCACACCCCCCCGGGGCTCTCTCTGCCTCACACACCCCCGGGCTCTCTGCCTCACACACCCCCGGGCTCTCTGCCTCACACACACCCGGGCTCTCTGCCTCACACCCGGGGCCTCTGCCTCACACACACCCGGGCTCTCTGCCTCACACCCCCCCGGGCTCTCTGCCTCACACACACCCGGGCTCTCTGCCGCCCTCCCCGCTGCACCCTCTGAGCCTGCTCCGGCCTCTCCCGCAGATCCTGGACGAGGTGGAGAAGCGGCACCAGATCTCCATGGCCGTCATCTACCCGTTCATGCAGGGCCTCCGGGAGGCGGCCTTCCCCGCCCCCGGGAGGACCGTCACCCTGAAGAGCTTCATCCCTGACTCGGGCACCGAGGTGGGTGCCCTGGGAGGGGAGAGGGACCCTCTGGCTGCAGGGGCAGGCTGCGGGCGGCACGGCTCCTCCCAGCCCCTCATTCCCTGGTTAGCGTGCAGACACACAGCCAGGCGGGCACGGGGTCTGGCTTGAATTACCGTCAGAGCTGAACGTCAAACCCAAATTTCGCCATCCATCCTCCCAGCGGGCGGCTCACCAGGCCCAGTCACTCACTCTTCAAGCCACCGAGACTTGTTTGTGATCAATAAGTCACGTAGGCCGCGGTTCCTGGTGCTAGGTGGACTTTGCCCCCAGCCCCCAACCCGCCAGGGGCCCCCACACCCCACCCTTCTCCCGCCGTGTCTGCGCTCTATCTCTGCCTGAGGCCTCCAGCTGTCCACTTCTTATCACCATCCCCGCCCCTGGGTCCCCACCCAGGCCCCGCGGGGTGCCGCTGCTTTGAGGTAGAACATGGTTTTAGGAATTCCAGCGCTGACCCCTGTTCCTCTGGGGATTCCGTGTCCCTCTGAGCCTTGGCTTCTCATAGAAAATCAAGGGGGTGGTGGCTGGGCTTTGTCACTTGCTCAGAAAATAAGTAGGGGGTGCTTGCTGGGCCCCGAGCGGATCGATTTCCTGGCTGTAAAGTGGTGACTACAATGAACGTGACGCCTGACCTCGGAGCTAAGCATCTAGCTGGGGAGACGGACGTTCAATAAGGAAACAGACAAATGAAGAATAAAAAATTGTGTGATCTGATGAAAGGGGGAAACCAGGATGCTACTGAGAAAGGATGGAGAGCACACGTTGCTTTAGGTGGCCAAGGAGGGCCTCTGAGACAGGGTATGGGGTGGGGAGGGAGGGGGAGAGGCGGTGAGAAGGAAGGGAGGAGGGCGGTCCAAGGGCCTCACCTGTGCAGGACGTCCAGCCGGAAAGAGTGTGACATGCTCGGGGCACAGGAAGGAGGTGATGAGGGAAGCGGACCAGGAGGTGGGTGGGAGGCAGGACTCCGTGGGCCGTGCCCGGGGTGACATCAGTGTGAGCCCCCGAGCAGAGGGCCACCTCGGGTGGGTGTAGCACGGGAGAGGCAGGATGGGGCTCACTCCTGCGGGGACCGGGGAGGCCGGCAGAGGCCCAGCGTCCTGGGGTCTGCGTGAAGAGGCTTCGGTGCGGTGACTCCCTGTCTGGTCTCCCCAAGTTCATCTCCCTGACGCGGCCCCTGGACTCCCACCTGGAGCACGTGGACTTCAGCTCCCTGCTGCGCTGCCTCAGCTTCGAGCAGATCCTGCAGCTCTTCGCCTCGGCCGTGCTGGAGCGGAGGATCATCTTCCTGGCCGAAGGGCTCAGGTGGGTATAAGGGGAACAGCTGGGGGGTCCCCAGAGGAAGCCGGGGTGTAGGGCCCGTGTGTGCGCCCTCCTGCCTCCGGGTCTTGGTCTGCACTCACCTGCCCTCCAACGTGCTTGCTGCCTCGGCCTGAGGAGGCCTCTGACATGGCCGGGATGTGTCCTGGGACGTGTCCTGGGACGGCCCCGGGGGGAGAGCGTCAGGGTGGAGGCAGATGGGACTCTGCTCCTGACAGGCTCAGGGCAGGAAGGCATGCAGTGGTATGGAGGTCAAGGCCATCCTCCTAATGACAAGCACATCTACCATGCACTCGCTCATTCCACAGACACACGTGTGTGACCTGTGTGTCGGATGCCAAGCATTCAGGAGGACACAGGCAGACAGACCTGGTCTTTGACCTGAAGGGGCTGCAGAGTTCTGTAATGGGTGAAAGTGTAGGTTTTGAATCAGCAGAAAGCGGTTCAAGTCCTATTCTTAGCTACATGGTTCCCTTAAGCTAGCTTTTTTTTTTTTTTTTAAATTATTATTAATATATATTTTATTGATTTTTTTACAGAGAGGAAAGAAGAGAGATATAGAGTTAGAAACATGGTTGTGAGAGAAACATCAACCAGCTGCCTCCTGCACACCCCCCACTGGGGATGTGCCCGCAACCAAGGTACATGCACTTGACCAGAATTGAACCTGGGACTCTTGAGTCTGCAGGCTGACTCTCTAGCCACTAAGCCAAACCAGTCAGGGCTTACGCTAGCTTTTTAACTTCTAAAAGTCATCATCTTCTTATCTGTAAAATGGAGAAAGCGACTGTCTGTCTCATAAGGTTGTGGTGGGGATTGAGTGAAATAGTTCACATTAGGCAGCTAGCACCCTGCCAGGTATAGTTTTTAGTAAGTGTGAGCTGTTATCTTTAAAAAAAATTTTTTTTAAATTGATTTCTGAGATAAAGGGAAAGGAAAGAGAGAGAGAGAAACATCTATGAGGAGAGAGAATTGTTGATTGGCCGCTGCCTTCCCCTCCACACCACCCCCCGCCCCAAGGATGGAGCCCGAAACCTGGGCATGTGCCCTGACTGGGAATCAAATCATAACTCCGTTCATAGGCTGACACCCAACCACTGAGCCACGCCGGCTGAGCTGAGCTGTTATTCATAATAATAAGCTCGCAGTGGAGTGTACCCCTGTGTGTTGTGGAGGCGGGACATTGCCACGTCTTGGCCTCTACCTTTTAGGGCCTTTGAGTCTGAGAAAGACAAGGAGAGGCATGAGAAGATGGAGAAGGAAAAACAATATCAAAGAGCTGGTGGGTGGCCTTCTGTTCGTGTCTGCGGAGGGAGAAAGCGGATGATGCCGGCTGACCGCTCGGGCTCTGACTTTCAGGGAAGAGGAAGGACAGGATGTTGGGGACCCAGCTCTCAGGCCAGAGAGGGTCAGGTGGATGTCACGGTGCTCAGAGAAAAGGAACTCGGGCCGGGAGTGGGGTCTGTGGGCTGAGCGTGCTATCGAGGTCAGTGTCAGCAGAAAGGCACTGGTTGTGAGCTAGTCCTGAGGGAAGTGGTGTAACCTTTCGCTTTGGAACCAGCTTTCCCCCCCCCGCTCAGCCCTGCAGGGGAAGACGTTTCTGTGTGGCTGGAGCTGGGGTGCTGGCCTTTCCCCCTAAGAGTGGAGCTTGGGAAACGAACGTGACCGCACGGGTCAGCTGGCCGGACCGGGGCCAGGGCCAGCGGGACTTCCCTCTCAGGCGTTGACCTTCTCCAGGGAGATCCCACCTCTCCCCACTTCCTTCCCACACCATCTGTCAGAGCCCCGAAACGCAGGGCTGGGGGGCGGGGAGGGGGGCACTTCCAGGCAGCCTCGGCCTTGGCCGGCTCTCTGAGCCGGTCTCTCACGGGGAATGCTGGTTGACACCAAGAACTGGAACAGGGTTTCTGCATCCGCGTTTTGATTGGCTTCGGCGTGGGGGGCACCCAGGAGGAGTGAGGAGCCGTGAAAGCTGGCGGGGGACAGAGAAGAGAGAGGGTGGGCTGTGTGTGAGTGAGTGGCAGGAAGTGGCCCTGTGCAGGGACCAGGCAGTGCGCGCCCAGGGGCTGCTTTGTAGAAAAGGCAGAGCCCCTCGGCGGGACTTTCCGGGAGGAATTGCTGGGCGAGGTTCCGGGAATCCAGGAATTTCCCAGGCAGACTCAGCAGCAACCTGGGGCGGCCGAGGGAGCTGGGAGGGAAGGCCTGGACGGGCCGGCCACTGGAGAGATGCGGAGGAAGCAGGCCTCCCTCTCTGCTGCCCCGTGTTTATCGTCTGCCTCCGCAGCTGCCCGCCGAGTGCCTTAGGAGCAGGGCCATGCCGAAACCGGTGTGGCTCAGTGGATAGAGTGTTGGCCTGCGGACTCAAGGGTCCCGGGTTTGATTTCGGTCAAGGGCATGTACCTGGGGTTGCGGGCACATCCCCAGCGGGGAGTGTGCAGGAGGCAGCTGATGGATGTTTCTTTCATCATGTTTCTAACTTTTTATCTCTCTCTCTTCCTCTCTGTAAAAACTCAATTATATATATATATATATATATATATATATATATATATATATATATATATATTTTTTTTTTTTTTTTTTTTTTTTTAAAGAAGCCGGGCCCTGTCTCCCAGATCCTGGCATCCACATGGGTAGGACCGTGCTGAGCGCACAGAAGGGGCTCCATCCTGGGGAGGCGTTTCTCCCCGCTCCGCTCCTTAGAGCTGCTTTTATTGCTGAGATGTCTCATGAGGAATCAAGGCCCAATGCAGGCCCCTCCCGCCCCTGCCCCTCGCCTCCCAGCTGGGAGGCGTCACCGGGACCAGCGTGGCCCCGGCCTGCTGCACCCGCTGTGGGGGGCGGCGGCATGGGGGTGCCGGGGTGGGGCGCGGGGAGGCCCCTCTAACCCTCGTCTCCATCGCGTCCCCAGCACCCTGTCGCAGTGCATCCACGCCGCCGCCGCGCTGCTGTACCCCTTCAGCTGGGCGCACACCTACATCCCCGTGGTCCCCGAGAGCCTCCTGGCCACCGTCTGCTGCCCCACGCCCTTCATGGTGGGAGTGCAGATGCGCTTCCTGCAGGAGGTTCTGGACAGCCCCATGGAGGAGGTAGGACCAGCAGGAAGACGCCGCCTGAGGCCGCTGGCCAGATCTGGGGTCGGAGCCCAGCTCCGCTCCTCGGGGCTGTGCGGTCTGGGGCAAGTGGCTGCCCCTGGGTAAGCCTGAGCGGCTGCTTTTGTAAAACGGGGGTGGCAGGGCCCCGTGCCTTGGGTTCCGGGCAGGAAATCACCTGCATAAAGCTCCCCGCCTGAGGCCCGACACATAGATGATGCTCCGTAAGCATCAGCTCTCTGCTCCCGAGCCATTTCCCGTCGGGCGTCCAGCACGTAACTCACTGAGGGGCCGTCTGCCTGGCCTGGGCGTCCCCGGCCCCATCTGGAGGGAGAGCACAGCTGGCTTTCCCAGCGCGCAGCCCACTGGAGCGCCCTCACATTCCTGGGGCCTGAGCTCACTCCTGCAGCCCCGCTGAGAGCGGAGCCCTGACCCAGCAGATCTTTGGAGCAGGGTTGTCTTTCTGAGTGGCTGAGAGGTCAGCTGGCGACCAGGAGAGAGCCCCTGGATGCTGTCAGTGGCCCCCAAACGGGCATTCGTAGCATGCATCCGCCTCCCGTGCTGGAAGGACAGCTCAGAACACGTGTCCTGCTTGGAGCGGCAGGAGGAAGAGTCAGGGAGAGCATGTCACCTCCAGAGAGAAGGGGACGTCCGCACTGCCTCACCTGGACTCTGTGCGGACCAAGGGCCAGCCCCGGGGAGAGGCGAGAGGCAAGCTGCTCAGCGGCCCGGAGCCAGCCCTGGGGGGAGGACGTCCCCCGTTTGCAGGATGTAACAGAAGGCCGGAGAACTCCGTGGGCATTTCCGAGGCCACACAGGGACGCAGCACAGGGAGCAGAACCCAAGGCCCTCCTCCACGGGGCGCTGCTGGGGAGGAAAGACGTTTCCCTCCCAGCTTCCGGGCCCTCCCAGCCCTTCTCAGAAGTGCTGAGTACACACGCCCTTTGAACGAGCCTGTGCCTCGTGACTAAGTGGGACCGGAGCAACCCATGTGCAGCAATAAGACTTCGGTGTCCCAACACCAGCAGCGGTTATGAAACTTCCTGACGCTGCAGCCCAGCTTCTCAGAAGCGGTGGCTCCTCCCCGGGCCGGCCCGGCAGGAAGACATCGAGGCCAGCGGGACTGGCTCCTGCCATCCCGGGGCCTGGGCCTGTGTTCCGCCTCAGCAGCTGCCCTGTGAAAGGGGGGGACCAGGGAGTAAGCTCTCTGGAAGGGATCATTTGGCAGGAATAGACCCACACACTAGGAAGATTTTGGGGCACGACTTCACAGAAACATTCCTCACCCACAATCGCAGCTCCCAACCCCCTGAACAAACAGGCTTCCCTGCGCGAAGGCACCTGAGCCCGTGTACACAGGGGTTTCAGGCCCGGACTAGTTCGGCGTTTCTCCCCCGAGGACGGGTAATTACAGAGCCGGCTCTGTCTCCTGGCACGCTTGCCAGTCCCTCTTTTCCCTTTTATTTGGGAAGGAGGGACCATTCACCCCATTGTCACGAGCAAACGGAAAAGAGGAGTCCAGCAGGCATTTCGGTGACCAGCAGGTGTGGGTGTGGGGCTGGGGGAGGGGGTTATGGCAAACAGCCCAGCCCAAGCGGGGCAGCCGCACTCAGTTCTCTCTGAATGTTGTCCTTTAGAAATGAGAGCCAGTGATAGACTTCCTGACTTTTTAAAAATATTTTAAATTGAGTTTTAGAGAAAGAGAGGGGGAGAGGGAAAGAGAGAAACATTGACGTGAGAGTGAAATATCGATCGACTGCCTCCTGTGCACTCCCTCCTGTGCACTCCCCAAACCCAGGCGTGTGCCCCGACCGACCGGGAATCTAACTGGCAACCTTTTGGTGCACGAGATGGTGCCCAACCACCTGGCCACACTGGCCAGGGCACAGACTCCCTGACTTTGGAGGAGAAGCCCCCAATCCAAATTTTATGTGAAATGTTCCAGTGCAAACATTGGAAATGAATTCCATTATTTGAGAATGCTCTGAGGATCCAGGAAACAGATCTGCAGGTGGGAATCCAGCCAGTGGGATGTCTGTTTGTGTGTCTGGTCTAGACGGAAGGCCCCTCAGGCAAGTGATGGAGCCGGTACCAGAGCTCAGAGCCCCCAAATTCCAGGACCCCTAGTTCCAGCCCCGTGCCTGTCCCACCTGCAGCCTGCAGACACCTGGTCTCCTCACTGCCTTTCCTTCCCTCTCCCTGATGACCCCGCGCTCATTTCCTTCTCTCGCTGTTTCCCTAAGCTCGGAGGGAGTTTCTAGGCTGTTGCAAGAATGGGGAGGTGAAACTAAGCTCACCAGAGGGAGGGAGCTGAAGGCGAGCGTGTGGAGCGGGGTGCTGTCCTGAGGCCAGGGCACTGGGGGCGCGGCCTCTGGCTCTGTTTTGTGTTAGCAGAGGGGCCTCAGGCAGCCTCTGCGAGGTGGGTGGGTACATGCCTCCGCAGGACTGCTGGGCAGATTACACGCCATAAGCGAGCAAAGCACTTACCTTGTTCTCCTTGTCCCTAATTTGGAAGCAGTTAGTCTTCTCAGGGCTTCATGAAGGGAGTGACCAGCCATGATTGCCTCATCTTTATTCCCCTTCCACCTCCGCTCCCTCCCATCCCTCTTCCTAGACCCTCACACCTTTTCCCCAGGAAAGGGACTGAGGTTTCCAAACGAGAATGGGGAGGAAGGAGTGTCCGACCGAGATGCTGGTTTGCCTGCTTCTTGAAATGGAGGTGGCAGGGCCTCCTGAGGTCTGTGACGACGGGGAAGAGATAATTCTGCGTTTATTGCAGGTCCTGCTGGTGAATCTTTGTGAAGGAACCTTCTTAATGTCAGTGAGTATCTGGGCTCAGACCCCCTGCAGGCCCTCCACCAACCCAATCACTCCGGTCTCACCCGGGCTCCACGCGTTTCCACTTAAGTGCTTTTGCTGAGCGAGGACCCCTGCTAAGGAGACCTCTCCCCGCTCCGGGGGCCCACGGCAGGCGAAATCACAGAAGGCCGACCTCAGGGCAAGGCAGTTAGTGTCCGTGCCTTAGAGCAGGGGTTCCAACCGGAACCACGGGGTGGAGGGGAGACCTGCTGACACTGAGTCCGGCTGAAGGCCAAGAAACGGCTTCTGTTGTTTCTCTCCTGTGTGGCCGATTCTCAATTTGGGGGTGAGTGGGGGGCGCAGACACACCCTCCTCTCTGCCTACACCCCACTTCACACCTCCTCCCGGACTCTGTCCCTGACTAGGTGGGTGACGAGAAAGACATCCTACCTCCCAAGCTTCAGGAAGACATCTTGGAGTCTCTCAGTCAGGGGATGGAGGAGCAGCAGAGTAAGTCCTAGGCTCCTCTTCTTCTGGGGGTCCCCAAGGCCCCTGAGGGCAGGATTCCCAGCCACCCCCTTTCAGAACCAAAACGAGTCTGCTCAGAGGGCCTGGGCCAGCCCCAGAGGCCCGGGTCCGAGGGGCAAGCCGGAGTTCTTATTCTTCCTAAGCCATGGTAGAGAACTCACCCCCAGCCTCCCACCTTAAATATATATTTCTATTGATTTTGAACAGAGGGGAAGAGAGAGGGATAGAGAGTTAAAAACATGGATGAGAGAGAGTCATCGATCAGCTGCAGGCCCCCCACTGGGGATGTGCCCGCAACCAAGGTACATGCCCTTGACCGGAATCGAACCCAGGACCCTTCAGTCCACAGGCTGACGCTCTGTTATTCACTGAGCCAAACCGGTTTCGGCCAGCCTCCCACCTTAAAGAGCCCGTCAGTCCCACCCCCACCCTTAGAGACAAAGGTGGGCCGTTCCGTCCTCCTGCTCCTCCCTGAGCAGGGTCTCCGTGTCCCCCGCAGCCCCGGAACAGATCAACGAGCACGTTTCCGGCCCCTTCGTGCAGTTCTTCGTCAAGACCGTGGGCCACTACGCGTCCTACATCAGGCGGGAGGCCGGCGGGCGAGGCCGCTTCCAGGAGCGGGCCTTCTACAAGGCGCTGCCCTCCAAGGCCAACCGCCGCTTCGTGAAGAAGTTCGTGAAGACGCAGCTCTTCTCGCTCTTCATCCAGGAGGCGGAGAAGAGCAAGAACCCGCCTGCAGGTCCGCGCCCGCCCGGGCTGCAGGGTCCCTGGGGCCGGGCCCGGGGTGGAGGAGAGGCGGGCGCTTCCCTCCGGAGGCCCCGGGACGGCTGGGATCCTGGCGCTCTATCCTTCAGGCGCAGGAGGCCCTGTGCTCTATCCTTCAGGCGCAGGAGGCCCTGTGCTCGTTGAGTCTGGAGCTAATTATGCTTTGCAGGCCCCTGTGAGGGGCTAATGGGATCCTGGGTCTCCAGAGGCCTGTGAGGGTCTGGGAATTCCCTGAGAACGTGGGGACAATGAGGTATGGGGAGCAGGCAGGAAGGGGATTCCCCCCGCCCCTTTTAAACTTTTTTAAAAAATATATATTTTATTGATTCTTTACAGAGAGGAAGGGAAAGAGATAGAGAGCTAGAAACATCGTCGATGAGAGAGAATCATCGATCAGCTGCCTCTTGCACACTCCCTACTGGGGATGTGCCCCCGACCAACGTACATGCCCTTGACCGGAATCGAACCCGGGACCCTTCAGTCCGCAGACCAATGCTCTACTGCTGAGCCAAACCGGTTTCGGCCCTTTTAAACTTTTTAAAAACTTTTAAAAATTGATTTCAGAGAGGAAAGGAGAGGGGGAGAAACATCCATGATGAGAATCATAGATCAGCTGCCTCCTGCACCCTCCCCTCCCCCGTCCCCGGGGATGGAGCTCACAGCCGGGACCTGTGCCCACACCTGCGATGGAACCCTGACCTCCTGGCTCAGAGGAGCCACGCCCGCCAGGCCAGAAAGGCTGTTTCTGACCCTCACTCCTGAGCTCCTGCGTCCGCCCAGCCAGCGCGCAGCCTCTAACACCTGCTTCTGACCCCACAGGCTATTTCCAGCGGAAGATCCGTGACTATGAAGAACAGAAGAAACAGAAGAAGTCGAAGGGAAAGTCTGTGAAATAGGAACTGTGGCGAACGGGAGTGACCAGACTTACAGGCCAGTGGACTTTGGCCCCTGCCAGCACGGCGGGGTCGGCGAAAGCTCTCCGCTCCCACACCCAGCCTTCTCCTGAGTCCTGGGAGCCAGGTCTTGCTTCGAGCTGGCGCCTCGAGTGTGGGGTCCCCGGAACCTGCTTCCTCAAGACTTCGCAAGGCCCTGGCCTCTGTGCTCAGAGCGGGCGCGCCTCGTGCGGGGGGACAGAGCGGAGGGGACACAGAGTGAACGGGAGCACGGGTGGCACAGACACATAGAGTTGCTGGAACCGCCCCTCCCAGGAACCACTAACAGAATCCTCCGGAGAAAGCAGCTGCGGCTCGAAGGCTCGGCTCTCCACACGAAAAGAAAGGGCCATGGACACGCGAGGATAAGAATAAAACGAGAACTTCCTGTGGTTTCTCTGTGTCTGTGACTTGCACTCTTGGGGGAGGAGCAGAGACAGGAATAGATGTGAGGATGAACTGGACCGCAAGAGGGGCACCGGGTGCTGGTGGCCAAGTTCTGGGGGTCGGCAGCTCCCCCCAGCACCGGGAGGGGTCAGGGCACAGATGTGTCAGCAGCACCGGACGGGGCAGGCGTGCTTTCCAGGTTCCTGAAGGGCTGGGAGCCAGAGGGAAGGATTGTGGCCCAGGGTCATGCAGGGCGGGAATGTCAATGAGCAGGAGCCAGAGGCGTCCATAAATAGGCCTTGTCCACCCACCACCTGGTTTGGAAGCTCTGTTTTCAACAACCTACTTCCTACTTGTATTTTGGGAAGCCCGATCCAACCCTTCAGCTACAGGTGGAGGGATCACGCACTGACAGTTTCTTCTCTTGAGGAAAGAGAGCCGTAGGGTCGGAAGTTTAGGGGTCTCCTAGTCCCCTCTCCCTCCACGCCTCTCATACCTTCTGCGGAAACAGTGGAAGGGACAGGGAACATTCAGAAGCATTTTGTTTAAGAATTGCATTTTTAAATTTTTATTGTGCGACTTCAGAGAGGGAGACGAATAGAAAAAAACATCAGTGGAGAGAATCATTCATTGATCAGCTGCCTCCTGCAAGCCCCACGCTAGGGACCGAGGCATGTGCCCTGACCAGGAATTAAACTGGGACCTTCTGGTTCATAAGTCAACGCTCAACCACTGAGTCATGCTGGCTGGGCCAAGAACTGCATCATTTTAGTGTGTGTGTGTGTGTGTGTGTGTATGTATGTCCCTCAGAGATCCCTGATTCCTACACAAAGAACACAAATGTCTTTGAAAGGCGGGACAGGGTAACGATGGCAACAACAACAACAAAAAACTATCAGGAGGGGAAAAGAATACAGTCCTGTTTTAAGTTGAATAATTTATACAAAACAGAAAGGTCACAGGACAGAACGACAACGTGGCTGACCAAATTTTCTTATTTATTAAAGAACAGAAATCAATTTTGCTTCCAGTTTGAAAAATGACATTAAAACATAGTTTTATTCTTCCAGTGAATAAAATTGAGAAAAACGCTGGCTTTCAGATCATATATTTATTTAAAAAAATAAAATGAATCGACAAAGGTACATTATTCCGCATGCTGACAGGGTTCCCAGCCCACGAGACACTCCGTTTCTTGAGCAATAAAAAAATGACTTCCTCGACAATGTAGATAGGAAACCTTTCCCTCCGGATTCCGGGTGTTGGTCACTCGCTCCCCCACACAAGCCAGAGGGCACATCTCCTGAGCCGAGCTCCTTTGCAAAGAAAGCTTGAGAAGACATGAATCAAAGATGTCACTAAAAGATGATGATTTGTTAAAATTATAAAGCAACCGACTTTTGGCCTGCAAATATTCTACCTAAGCAATCTCCACTGCAGGGGATCAGCCCCCCAAGACAATCTTATTCCGAATCCAGGACAGCTGACAAGCACATGGCATTGTTCCCCGCACGCTCGCTTGGCCAAGCCTGTACATCGACATGTACAACATATGGGACAGGACTTCAAACTCCCGTTCTCACAGAGGATCGTTAAGGAGTGTTACCAGTAACAAAGGATAAAAGTTATACCACGTTGATTATTATAAATTATATTTGTTCTTGTCCTCCCCACTCTCATTAATATGTTCAGATTCTTTCCTGCAGAAAGCACGAGTTTCCTATTCCACACCGGCTCCATCACTAGTGATGGTTCGAGTGAGCTGTAGAGGCCTTGATTCTGAAGACGTGTATGTGCAGGTGAGATGCGATCTGATTGCAGACGCTGACACAGTAGCGGATCAAATCAAACAAAGAGAAGACCTGGAACGAAACGAGACGATTAGAGTCACCTGACCTGCGTAGGCTACCCTCAGCTTACCAGTGCAGAGGCATGGCTTCTGGATTTCTCCCTCTCTCTTCAGAGTCACCCTCCGAGCCATACAATTTCACACACCAGTATTCACTGATTCTTCCTTAACAGCAAGGATCAACAAACTCTTTCTTAGAGACAGTCATTATTTCAGGCTTTGTCATGAATGCTCAACTCTGCCATTGCTGCATGAACGCAGCCACAGATAACACATGCATGTATGACCATGGCTGTGTCCCAATAAAACTTTATTTACAGCCTGGGTATTGTTTGCCAACTCCTGCTTTATAGTCAGAAATAGGGATTTTATAAGCCCTAATGCGGGCAGAATTAAAAATTAATGTAGAAAATGGTTCAGAGATGAAGCCACAAGGAACAAAGTCCTATAAGTGAGGCTTTGACATTCTAAATCATTCCAATTGTAAGATGGCTCTCTCAGGACTGGCCCACTGAAACAAGCAAGTAGCCTCCACATCATGAAATACAGTACCTACCAGGGCAATCCAAAGCACAATGTATTCATCGATGAAGCTGTTGAAATACTGATCCAGAAACAGAAGTGCCGGGCCTATGAAGGCTGTGTCGTGCAAGTGCATTTCACTCTTGGTCATGTGAGCCACCTAGGAAGGAAGGAAACCAATGGCGTGGGCATTTCCGTGTTGGAGCAACTGTGAGCTACGCAGAAAACCAGGACTGTGCTCCAACATCAAGTCTCAAGAATTCTTCAGCAACATGCGCTCATTTCTAAAACCAAAAACCTGACAGCACGAAGTGTGTGTGAGAGCTACGCACCCCAGGGTTCTGCCATCAACTAGGCCCCCAACCACGCCTCTCACCAGGAGCCCGGTGTGAGCGTCTAGACGGAGGCGGAAGAATGCAGGTGAGCAAACTAAGCAGGTGACACTGTGGAGAGAAAGGAGAGCCACGTGGCTCAAGGAGCTCCTGGTAAGCCTGCTGTCCCTTCACAGAAGACACCAACAGTGCCCAGACTGATGTCAGGAGATTCCAATCGGAGGAGGGCAAACTCTAGAACTTCTCGGGACACCAGGGGGTGAAAACTACGGCCCTAAACCCAGAATAAGATGAAAATTAAAAACAAACAAAAACGTTCGTGCTTACCACAAGCTTATTGGTGATTTTAGCAGATACAAAACCAAACGTCAGTATATAAAGACAGGGATGCTTTTCAAAAAGCTGGACTGCGGACTTCTTGTAGATCATCACGGCTAATGTGATCACGGATCCAATGTGGAGGAAAGGAGAAAGGACACTTGTTCCCTGTGCAGGGCAGAGAGGAGGCGGGTTAGTGGGACTTGATACCGACCAACTGAAGCTTTTAAGAACCTTGTGCAATCTGACAGCCAACAGTTTCTACAACGGAGCATCAGCACAGCTCAGGAGAAGCAGGCCCCGGCCTGGGAAGGCACAAACTGAGGAGTTCACTTTTAAGAGGCCAGGCTTATTTTATAAAACAGGCCACACTTAAAAAAAAAAATAATAATACAGGTGCATTAAGTTTGTGCATATCACAAAAATACAAGCATATCATTGTATGCATGTAAAATAAAACTGAAGTTTTGTATGTTACTCTTTTTAAGACTAAGAGGAAACTCCTAGTTGACAAGTGATTTTATATAATTCAGTACAATTTTTATTGATTTCAGAGAAAGGGAGAGAGAGAGAAACATCAGTGATGAGAGAGCATCATTGATCGGCTGCCTCCTGCATGCCCCCTTGCTGGGGATCGAGCCTGCATTCCAGGCCTGTGCCCTGACCAGAACTGAACTGTGACCTCCTGGTTCACAGGTCAACGCTCAACCACTGAGCGATGCTGGCCGGGCGATTCCATATAATTCAGGTGAAAAACCAAGTGACCCCCACACTGAGTCCTAGCATAAACCATCACTGGGAAGCACAAGCGATACTCACTGCGATCGTTGATCCATTTTTCCCAACACCACCTGTGAAGATTACACGGAAATAATTCGTACAGGAAAATATGGTCCCTGCGACAGTACAAAGTGCAGGAAAAATTTTCACTTGAATATTCAGCACTGGAATCTTTAATAGGCAGAGAGAAAGAGCAATTAAAATATATACAAACTGAAATAGGAAGACAGAACAATCACATACTCAATTCATATTCTGATTATGTTCTCAGTTCAGTAAATACTTAAAACTGATGGAAGCTCCTCTCTCCTTTCCTTTATGAGCAATATAACAAGTCTCAGGAGATGAGGCTAGACAGAAATTCATCTCACTGCAAAAGAAAATAACTGATCCAACTTGCTTAATTTGAGTCAGAAGCTATGTGTTGAACACATCTCAGAAGCCTGGCAACAGTGTGAACTGGGCTGTCTTCTGGTGTTTTTAGCAAAGAGTTCTCTGTCTTTTTCTTTGTGCACTTTTTAAAAACTCTACCCCCACATCCTTAATTTGTTACTCATTGTTACGATCAAATGTGGATGATGAAAGACTACAAATATTTGCAACTGGATTGAAAACAAACAGCTGTAAACCAGAGGATGGAAGACAGAAGTTCTACTCAGAAGAGTCCCCACGGCCAAACTGTTAGGATGCAAGCAGCCAGGAAGCAGAGGGCACGCGAGAAGGGTTCACGCGTGGGGTCGAACACGGCAAGCACATCGAGGAGGAGGAGGACGGATTTAAAACAAGGAGGCTGAGTGGTTTGAGATCATGTATTTAATCTTGCGAATACAAGCCCATCATTTAAAATGACATACACTTGCATTAATATTTAAAATCATTTAAGAATCTCTCCCTTCCTATACCTCCCCTGTAGCTTTTCTAAAGTCTCAAGTTTTGTCCAATATAGACTGAAAGAAAGCAACAATACAATAATGAGTCTAAACATAGAAATAAATGACCATAGGAACAAGCTTCCAAAAGCCCAGGCTTAGCAGGCAATGAGTTTTCACAATGAAAGCAATGAACGAGAGCTGCTAATGCTTTTTAGGCTGCCATCTGCCTACACGTTTAAAAACCAAATGGAAAAATCTGAGATCTTCTATTTGTTCCTATGGATAAAACTGCAGTAAAATTAGTAGATGTAATTCTTAATGTTTAGATCCTCAAT